AATAATGAATAACATTTATATTATGAATGTACTTACCAGTAATTTGTCGCAAATGGAAATATTTCAAAGTTTTCGAAGTTCGTACTATATCCATCAGGACAACTACACGTACCGTCCGAGTTACATGTTCCATTTGGTTTGCAATGCGTCAGACAGTATGATTCACATGTCCCAGTCGTATAATTTAAAAAATATTCTCGGTCACAAAAGCAACGTCCGTATATACACGTACCGTTGCCACATTTATTTTTACACATCGATTCGCATACATATTTGGAATTCTCACGGAGTTTGTAACCCTCTTTGCATTTACAGATCTCAGGCGCCACGCACGTGCCCATCTGGCAGGGCTCGCTGCAGATCGGTTCGCAGAAGCTTCCATTTACTAGTTTGTAACCTTGGTCGCAGGTACACGTCCCCGGTGACGTGCACGTTCCGCCATTGCATGGCTTGTCGCACATTGGCGAGCAGGTGAATACTGGATCAAATTTGTCTACATGATAGCCACTCGCGCATTGACAGACGTTAGGAGCCACGCAATGACCGTTCTTGCACGGGAGATCGCAAACGGGCTCGCACATAAACGGGGAGGAGTCGTTGCCGACTCTCCTGTAATTGGAACGGCACGTACACACATTCGGCTCGGCACAGTATCCGTAATTCTTCTCACATTCCGTATTACAGTTCGGCCGGCAAGTGAATCCGTCCGAGTCCAGCCAGTAGTTCTCGTTACAGCTGCAAAGCTCGGGAGCGATACAGGTGCCGTTGATGCAGTCATTCGAGCATACCGGTATGCAGGACTCCTTACCGTTCGTGTCAATTGATTTGCGATATCCTTCGTTGCAGATGCACACATTCGGCTTCTCGCAGATACCGTTCTCGCATGATTGCGAACAATGCGGCACACATGTCTGCGAACCGGATTGAACGTAACCTTCGCAGCATTTATGCCTAATAGTCCACCGAATGCGATACTGTAAAGGTAATTAACGAATTAATTGCATTACGAACACATGAAAGACAGACAGTTAGTTTGTAAGATAAAAATAAAGAAAATATTAGCATTTTTATTAGCAAAATTATTTCTCGTCTCTTATTTCTTTTTTATTTCTCTTACGAACATTATTGCAAACATTATTTATATTAGTTTGATTACCTCTATACGCTGGTATATGCCTGGTTCGTCCAGAATTTCTGGTACCTTCTGACTGTAATAAAATTAGTAAAATCAATATTTATGTACCTATATATCTAAACGAGTAATTTGCATGTTTAAAAAGAACAAATTATTTTATAAATGGATACATGCATAGATACATATATGTATCATATTCAATTTTTGAATGGGTATAATAATAAGTACAAAAATACCTGTAAAGTTGAGTACAGTCTTTCATTCTATAAGATATATTTTTGAATTCTGGTAAATCTTTGAAGAAAAATTCGGGTATCTCTGTAGCATCTACATGCCACGTACTCACTGCTAAAAACAATATTTTGATGATTAAAATAATAATATAATTATTATGTAATCCCATGGTCCGTTATGTCTACGAAGACTATGCTCTCGCCGTAATATCTTGACTGACTGTCGTCCTTTCTTTATCCATACATATATATTGTCTCATTTATCTTTGCTTTACATATGCAGGTTTTACGTATCTAGCATTCTTTTCAAACAAAATATACATTATCAGAGATTACTTAAAGAGATTACATATATATTCATAATGTAAGGTTCGTTTTAAAGTGTCACTATTACTCTAGTATTCAGAGAATGGCCCAAAGCAAGAGTAATAGAAATATTTATTTTAATTTTTCTATTCCAAATAAATACAAATATGACAAAAAAATTTGGCAATAATGTCATATAGCTCTTTGGCAATGTTAATGATAATGTCAATAATATTAATTATAATAATATTAATATAGGTAATAATTATTATAAGTATAGTATATTATAAGTATATAGTATATAGGTAGTATAAGGTATAAGTAACATTTGACTTAATATATAAGAATTATGATAGAAATTTTACGACATTATGTCACGGCTATTATTGGGAGTCGCCAATTGATAACAATCACAATGTGTAGTTTAAATAACAAGTTTTATTATAATATCTCATATATAAATTTTATTGAGAACGCACTTTTGAAATTTACGATATAATAGTAATTGAGAAGGTTGCATACAATAAAGATTCGTTTTAAAATTCGACGTCTGGTCAGCACCTGCCGAGGATTCTGATTATCAATGATAAGAGAGGAAACGAACCGAGAATCCGTGACAGATACATTATCTGCAAACAGGTTGAGTCCGATAAGAATGTGAATCTTATCGCGATCGGTTGTCCAGATCGGTCCTCCGATGCAACATGTCCAAAAAAGTATAAGCCTATCTCTGGCAAGAATGGCAAAAATTGACTTAGATTGCTCGGCCTTCTCTCTTTCTTTCTTTCCATCAGGGCTTTCAGGACTCGGGAATTTTAGCTTTGACTTGCTCATAGTGTAACTTCGAATCTCTCTCCTCTCTTTCATGCTCTTTCTCTTATTTCTATTGAAATAACAGAAGAGATATTTCTCTTCTCCGAAATTTGTTACTTTCCTCTTTCACATATTTTACTCTCATCTCACTCTAATCGACTTGAAATACTTCTCTGAAATACTTCTCTTAGCTAATCTCACATATGTTACATTATCATATATTTTCCATACAATAATGAAGTATATATTAAGTATATATTAAGATATATATTAAGATTACTTGAGAAAATGTCAATTATTTAATTCACAAAGAGAAAAGAAAGGTATTTTATAAAAAAGATTATTCCTTAAAGAAACTATCAAACTAAATTGAATTGATTAAACTAAATTGAATCGATTTATTGTAGTGTATTGTATTGTATTGTAGTGTATTTATAAGCTTTTTTGCTTAGAATGATTTTTGAAACATCTTTTAGAAATTAATTTCTGGGATATTCTATATTTCAAAGAAAAGATTCTCTAGAAATTTCAGTATCATATTCTTTACAATACAACTTTACATTAATTTATATATTTTATTATATAGCTCTTGGACGATGTTAATGATAATATTAATATCATTAATTATAATAATATTAATATAGTTATAATAAGTAGTAACATTTGACTAAAATATAAAAATTACGACAGAAATTTTACAACATTATGTAACAGCTATTATTAAAAGTCGCCAATTGATAACAATCATGTGTAATTTAAATAACGTTTTTTATTATAATATCTCATATATAAATTCTATCATCAGCGCGCGTTTGAAATTTTCGATATAATAATGATTGCAAAGGTTACATACAATAAAGATTCGTTTTACAAGATTCAGTAAAACGACATCTAAGATCTCTCTGATCAGCATCTGCCGAGGATTCTAACTATCGATGATAAAAGAAGAAACGGATCAAAATTCCGCGCGAGATCCATTATTTGTAAGAGGGTTGAGTCCGACAAAAATGTGAACAATCGATTGCCGTGTCCAGTCCTCCGACATGTCCACAAATATATAAGCCTCCGTCTAGCAAGAATTGCGAAAATTGATTTAGAATTGCTCGATTGCTTTCTTTTCATCAAGGCTTCCAGAACTCGGGAATCTTAGCATTGACTTGCTCGCAGAAGAATTTCGAATCTTTCTTCTCTCTCTCTCTCAAGCTCTTTTTATTTCAATCTCTCTTCTCTGAAATTCATTACTCTCCCTCTTACCTCGTTATAATCGACTTGTCTGAAATATTTCTCTCAGTTAATGTGTTACAATTATCACTTTTCCTTAATAAAACAATAATGTAATATTTATAAAGCAGATTACTCGACAAAATAGCTATTATTTAATAGAGAAGAAGACCATAATTATATATTAGTAACAGTATTAACGAAAGACCTATTGTCGTTATGTTTAGAAAAAATAAGATAAGAAACATTTTTTATATGCAAACAAATGTTTTGTGTTTCCCGGCCGCCGGACTCAATATGTTTGTGCAAATAAATGAAGTATACAGTGAATTATAAACATGTTTGCATTAAATGAAATTTATTTTAATATTTCATAATATTTCATAATATTTCATAATATTTTTATTACTTGTACTATATTTGTAATATTTATATTATTAATACTATATTTCTATTATTAAAATATCATGATACATATCTTTAAAGACATAATATAAGCTAGAATAAATTTATATAAAAAGATATCATTATTAATTGTAATTAATGATGATAATTATGATTAATATAATTATGATTGGCTAAATAAATGTTATTTATCTTTGTTCAAAAAATGTCACGAACAGTAAAATATATGTCATTGTATTTATCATTTTTATGACTGTTGTTGTATTTATTGATATTGTCACAACTAATAAAACCTGTTTTTTGCAAAATTTTTGTTTCCATGTTCATGTCTTTTTCAAAGTTACATCTCATTTTCAGGTAATAGAACTTCGCTGCAGTAAGATTTTCGTATAAAAATGTTTGCCGATATACCTATCAAAACAAATATATCAAAATAATTAACTATATAAAAATAATCATATTTCATGCAATGTGAATATAAGAAAATACTAATTATAAATTTTTTGTTTTAATATTTGATATAATGGGAAGGGAAATATCTTAAATTTAATATCGTGGAAACTTAGTGTTTGTTTTATGATTCATATGATATTTGTTATTATGTATGAGATACGTGTAGCAAGAAGTAGGATGTTGTTTTAATAAAAAATTATCTTTTAGTTGTATTTTGAAAAATATTGTTACGTCTGAACGCTGATTCGCTCGTCGTTGACGAATATTAATTCGACCGAATATTAATAGTAAAAAGAAGAAGATCGTTCCCTACAGACAGAACAGCGGTTGTTGTTTAAGGCGAACTTTAGTCATGAAAGAGCTGCGGAATAACTGTGATCATTACGAATATTCTTTCGATTCTCTTATTCCCGTTTTGTTAATAAAGTTCTTTTTTTTTCATAGAACGGTCTAGAATCGAAAATTTTATTCTATCCGATTTTTTCAAGAAAATTCGCTCCCAAAGTACATTTATTGCGAGCACGCAATTTTATTCTATAAGTTTGGGGAGCACTCCGGATAAACTAGACGAGACAAATGTTTCAAATCTGAGCTGAGAGAAGCTAAAGTTTCTCCCAAATTTGTTTGTGATTTATAAGTTGCATATAAGTTTGTGCCGAAAATCTTTCACCAAAACGTAATTCTAACTGTGAAATTAATTCACGAATTTTCTAATTACTATTCTAATACGAATTACGAATTTTTTAATTCACTCACAAACTCGCATGCGCCTTCCGTCTAAGATACGAATCTAAGATGAGCTCTCCAAAGCCTTTTTCGTATTACTCCCACTATTTGCAAGCGCCATTAAATTAAATTGTATCAAAAATTCGCGTAACGGGATACTTCCGTCATACAGTCGGAATTAAATTTAAAACCGAGACCATCCTCGTGATATAAAATTTGCAAATTTGTAAATTTGGGAAATGACTGATCTGATATATGTTGCTCCTCAGAATGCTGCATAAGCTTTCTCTGCTGATTGGATTGCAGACAATCCGCTCGTCGATGCTGCTGCGTTGTGCGCTCATCTCTCAGGAGACGAAGTTCATCGAAAGTTAGACGGAGAACTGTCTCTAGATCTGTCGTTTCCGGTTCCTTCATTCGTGTGCACGTTCTTTTTCTCGATGATGCTATTTGTCTCTCTGTCGAACCATCCGTATTTGCTGGCTACTCGTTGTTCCAACGTGCGATTAGGCTACGTTGTTCCAACTCGTCGATGCACAACGCTTTGCCATACTAGTTGATACGTTCGATTCCGGACGAGCCATCAAAATATCGCGCTCATTTGTAGAACTTCGTTTAATTCACTCTTACTCGCGTAATAAATTATAGGTTGTTTTATAAAAAGATCGAATTTTAACAAAACGAGAACAAGAGAGTCGAAAGAATATTCATAATGATTACAGCTGCTTCGCAGTTCTCTGGCAATCAAAGTCCGTCAAATAACAACTGCCGACACTTCGGTAGGGAACGTCCCTCTTCTTCTCAAATCAATATTATTATAGAGGGGCAACAAGTGGATCACAGCTCGGTCGTAAAAATTATGAATTATATAATTATTAGATTAGATAAACATTTTGAAAAATACCTGTTAATTTTTTCTTCTGACATTTGTGATATATTACAAATGCTGCTACTGTCAGACCTATAATCAACAATATAGCGATACTCACGAAAGGCCAAACTATTTTGGTAGAGATAATCGAGCCTTTATAATGACGCGTCATAACAATATAACAAGGCAATTCTGAAAAATAAAAGATAGTACAGACGACACTAAGATTTTTAATGATATATAAAAAAAAATTTTATAGTCTTGAATAATATTTAGTAAATTTATTATTTAAAATTACTTATAAAATTTTATTTAAAAAATTGTTATTATAATTTTATTCTGATCTATAATTTCTTATTATAATTTCTATTTCATTATCGATATCGAAATTATTATAAACTAATTTGTATAATTAAATGTAAAGTTATTTTAAATTATAAAATAAATTATTTAACTTTGTTTATATCATTTAAAATTGTTACACAAATTATTTAAATTTATTACAGGGATATTACAGGGAATAATATGTGACAATAAGGAAAAATTCGATTAAAAATACGAATTACAAATTTCCATAAATAATTATTAAAATTTTTGTCATTACAAATGAAAAATATATATATTTATTTTCAAAAATGTAAATACCTGTACTAAGTAAGCATCCGACAGAAGTCGTATTGTCTTTATCAGAATGTACCATGTAACACAGAGTATCTTTGTTAAGAGAACTGTCACACTGATAACAATTTGGCGCGCTTTTCAGAATTTGCATAATGGTGTTATTTGTATCATTACGGATCGTAATTCTGTAATTGGCGAATTATGAAATTTGTTTAGTAAATTATTGAACGATGTTCTTTGCGAGAGGTCAAGAATGGGAAATTGGCGAATCCATAATATTCACCTGTTGACATCGCCGTGATCGTAGGTCATCATTGTAACACACATGGACGATTGATCGCAGTCTTCTCCCGTCCATCCGAAATGACACTCGCATTTGTAATCGAGGTTGTGGTCGATAACGCATTCGCCGTGTTCAGTGCAATTGCGAGTACATGGGGAAATGCAGTATGGTCCCGAATCATTGTAGACGTTTTGTACGAAATCTTTGTGACAAATGCAATGGTCCGGACTGATGCAGTCGCCGTTCTGGCAACCTCTCTTGCAAATTGGTTCGCAAAAGCTTTCATTTCGTGGTGTGAACCCATCGTTGCACGTGCAACGATTCGGCTCTGTACAATTGCTATTGATGCATGATGGAGTGCATGAAGGTATACAACCTTCACCGAATACGTTCTTCACGTAACCATGATTGCAGACACAACTGCCAGATATGTCGCACCTCTCGTTAACCTTACATGACAGCGCATTACAAGGACGAAATTCGGTACAAATGCGATTGTCTGAATTATTTTGAGGCTCGGTCCACGATGGAAGATAACCATCATTGCAGGTACATACATTTGGCGCAGTGCATTTCCCTTTGATGCATTTGAAGTCACAAACCGGTTCGCAAAAATTTCTATCTTCTTCTTTCATCTATTTATTTATTAAAGGTCAAATAAATTTTGCTAAATTAACTGTAATTAAATAAATATTGATTAAACTATATTTTTTTTCTGCGTAAACTTATTCTCGTATGTTACTTGGATAACGGCAGTTTTATTTCTAATGACAAAAATCGTCGAATATATTGATTATTTTAAATTGTTATAATTTCGCGAACATAATTTGTAACTCAAGTGTAAAAAAATAAGAAAAAAATTTTAAGCAGAGTTCTAAAAATTTTTTCACTTTTGTACATGGTTTCAAAGTTAAAGTTTACAGTATAATTGTTTTAATAATGTTTAAGTAACATTGTTTAATAATTCTATTGAAAATCTAAATCTCTTCATATGTTTATTGTAACTAAGTAACATTAGTTTCAATATAGAGATATTTTTGTTAATTTATACTTAGTTAATAAACATATGGATTAGATTCAATATTATCTCTAAAAAATTAGTGATGTGCAAACTATTCGAATACAAACTGAATTGAATCGAATCAGATGAGATTCAATTCGAATTGGATTTGAATCTCTATAATTTGAATCTAAATTATTCAAAAATTTGGAATCGAAGAAGTTTGAATAATATACATATACATATATGAGCAATCTTATAAATCATGTTTTTCGTTAATAAAAAAAACAGTATGATTATTTTTTAAATAATGTAAGGACGCATTCGCGTATGATTTTGCGAAAATAATATATTCTTAATTAATTAAAAGTTATACTATTTAACAATTTATGTCGATTTGATACAATTTGGATTTATTGTAAATAATTCTTGATTCGCACATCTTTGTAAGAGATATCTTTATAAGAGATATAAGCAAAGTATTTAATTCAGGGAAAAACGATTTTTTTTAATAAAGATTGAAATCTCTATTTCGTATAATGTGTATATCTTATGTATTAGTTATATATTTGTTGAAAATTCCAACAATAATGAATAACATTTATATTTTATATGAATGTACTTACCAGTAATTTGCGCAAATGGAAATATTTCAAAGTTTCGAAGTTCGTACTATATCCATCAGGACAACTACACGTATCATCCGAGTTACATGTTCCATTTGGTTTGCAATGCGTCAGACAGTATGATTCACATGTCCCAGTCGTATAATTTAAAAAATATTCTCGGTTACAAAAGCAACGTCCGTATATACACGTACCGTTGCCACATTTATTTTTACACATCGATTCGCATACATATTTGGAATTCTCACGAAGTTGATAATTCTCGTTACATCTGCAAATTTCAGGTGCCACGCACGTGCCCATCTGACAGGGCTCGCTGCAGATCGGTTCGCAGAAGCTTTCATTCACCAGTTTGTAGCCTCGGTCGCAGGTACACGTTCCCGGTGACGTACACGTACCGCCATTGCATGGCTTGTCGCATTTAGGCTTGCAGGTGAATATTGGATCGTATTCGTCCGGTTCGTAGCCGTTCGCGCATTGACAGACGTTAGGAGCCATGCAATGACCGTTCTTGCACGGGACAGCGCAAACGGGCTCGCACATAAACGGGGAGGAGTCGTTGCCGATTCTCCTGTAATTGGAACGGCACGTACACACATTCGGCTCGGCACAGTATCCGTAATTCTTCTCACATTCCGTATTACAGTTCGGCCGGCAAGTGAATCCGTCCGAGTCCAGCCAGTAGTTCTCGTTACAACTGCAAAGTTCGGGAGCGATGCAGGTGCCGTTGATGCAGTCATTCGAGCATACCGGTATGCAGGACTCCTTACCGTTCGCGTCAATTGATTTGAGATATCCTTCGTTGCAGACGCACACATTCGGCTTCTCGCAGATTCCGTTCTCGCATGATTGCGAACAATACGGCACACATGTCTGCGAATCGGATTGAACGTAACCTTCGCAGCATTTATGCTCAATAGTCCATCGAACGTGATACTGTAAAGATTGTAATTAGCGAATTAATTACTCACACTTGCAGTAGAAACAGTTGAAAGATAGATAATTAGTTTGTAAGTTAAAAGTAAAGACGAAAATATTATCATTTAGCAAAATTGCTTTTCGTTTCATATTTCTTTTTTATTTCTCCTACGAACATTGTGGCAAATGTTATTTATATTAGTTTGATTACCCTTATCTCGTGTGTGTCTGGTTCTTCGCTTATTTTATTTCGCTTGTAAATTTCTGGTACCTTCTGACTGTAATAAAATTAGAAAATTGAAATTTATGTATCTATATATATATATATATATATGTAAATGTTTAAAAAGGACAAATTATTTTTGAAATGGATACATACGTAGATACATACATATATCGAATTCAATTTTTTTGAAAGAGTATAATAACAACATATAAAAATACCTGTAAAGTTTAGTACAGTCTTTCATTCTATTATGCATATTTCCGAGATGTTCTAACTGTCCGATGTAATATTCGGGTAAAGCTATCTATATGCCATATATTCATTACTAAAAACAATATTTTGACGACTAAAATAACAATAGAATCGTCGTGTAATCCCATGATCTGTTATTTCTACGAAGACTATGCTCTCGCCGCGATATCTAGACTGACTGTCGTAGCCATTTCTTCTTTCATACATATATATTGTCCCATTTATCTTTGCTTTACATGTGTATAAGTTTTATGTATCTAGCATTCTTTTCAAACAGGATATACACTATCAGAGGGTTATTTAAAGCATATGTATTCATGATAATGTTCGTTTTAAAGTATCACTGCTACTCGTACTCAGAGAGTGGCCCGAAGCAGGAGTAATAGAAACATTTATTTTAAATTTTCTATCTTAAATAAATGCAAATATGAAAGAGATTTTGGCAATAATGTCATATAGCTCTTGGACGATGTTAATGGTAATATTAATATCATTAATTGTAATAATATTAATATAATAAGTACTATAATAAGTAGTAACATTTGACTAAAATGTAAAAATTACGACAGAAATTTTACAACATTATGTAACAGCTATTATTAAAAGTCGCCAATTGATAACAATCATGTGTAATTTAAATAACGATTTTTATTATAATATATAAATTTTATCAAGGGTGCGTGTTTGAAATTTTCGATATATTTTTTTCGATATAATAGTGATTGCGAAGGTTACATACAATAAAGATTCGTTTTACAAGATTCGATAAGACGACGTCCGATCAGCACCTGCCGAGGATTCTAATTATCGATGATAAAAGAAGAAACGGTCCGCGCGAGATCCATTATTTTTAATTAGGATTGAGTCCGACA